TTGCCCTCTACCAGCATGGTCCTCTCTTGGCACCATGAGGCAGATGGGCCTCTCGCCATCCGCCTCCATCCTTTAGCTAGTAAGTTAGCAATCTATCAGTCTCTGCTCTTTCCTATCCAAAGTGTACTTCTCAGATAAAGGGAGGAGTATTTCTCTTCTAAACTTGCAACATGGCTCTGTGTAGCTTTGTAAGCTTAGTAAAGTTACTGGTAAAGTGACGTTCCTGCGTTTGTAGCTTTATTTACATACTCTGCTAACCAATGGTGACTGGACTAACCAAACCAGTTAACCTCAATAGAGGACACAAGAGTAGAATTTGGATGAGGTTATTTCCTAATTGGGGACTCAACTGTCTCAAGGCACAAAAATAATAAAAGCGGCGTCATTTCCTGCAGGAGCGCACAGGAGCGGAGCTCTGGCAATAAAGAGCCCAGGGAGGGGGCGGGCACATGCAACAAGACCCCCCCCCCCGCTCCCAGCAGCCCTCAGTCAGAGCAAGAAGCAGCCAGGTAAGTTGCAGAGCTCCCCCCGGCCCCCCGGTCCAAAACAGTCCAGTGGCATCTTTAAGACAAAGTTTTATTCAGGTACAAGCTCTCCCTCCTCTGCGAGGACAGATCTGCACGTCCCCCTCCCCCCCCATAGCTAGCAATCCAAAACAATCCAGTGGAGCCTGAGCGGTGGGTGTTGCCTTCTGACACACTTCCGGCAATGTCGGGGGTGTGGCATATGCAAACAAGTTATGCTAATGAGTTATGCTAATGCGCTCCTGCACCTCTTTTTCTACGAAATGACCCCTGAATAAAAGTATAAACAAAGCCAGTGTAGTATAGTGGTTAAGAGTTTCTGGGAGACCCAGGTTCAAATCCTCACTTGTGCCATGGAAGCTCGCTGGGTGACCCTAAGCCAGTCACACTCCCAGCCAAGCCTGCCTCACAGGGTTGTCGTGAGGATAAAACAGAGGAGAGGAGAATGATGTGAGCTGCTTTGTGTCCACACTGGGGAGAAAGGTGGGGCACCGATGAATTAAGTAGACTAGCTAAACATAGAATAGGGGATTTTAGGATGGGATATAGGTGCCATCCCCACAGGCCCATGTATGCCCCCCCCCTTCTGCTGATGCGGCAGCTTGCTGAGACCTGCAGGTGGACAGACCGCGTTGTTCCCAGGCAGCCTGTTCCCTCTAAGCTGTGGAGTCTTGTGAGCAAAAATTCTACTTTGTGAGCTACTGGCATTGAAGTTGTGAGCGAGCAATTTGGCTACTGCATCAATTAGTTTGCCCTGGAGCCATCCTTCCTGAGCTAAGAGGAAAATGTGTGAGCCGGAGGCTAAAAAACTGTGAGCTAGCTCACACTAACTCAGCTTAGAGGGAACACTGATAGACAACTACAGCAATAGCCTTCTCAGAGCCCCAGAGAAACAGGCTCTCTTACCCAGAGAGGCCAGGCTGCTACTCCAGATCAGATCTGCTCCAACTCTTCGCCTGACGGTGAAGAGAAGAAAGCAAGATACCACAGCAACACCGATTTGTTTTCGTTTTTACTTCCTGAACACCCCCACCTTTCTCCCCTATAGGGACCCCGAAGCGGTTCATACCATTCTCCTATCCTTCATTTTGTCCTCTAGGCTAGGTTAGGCTGTACAAAAGCAACTGGCTTCCACAGGCAGAGTGGGATTATTTATTTATTTAGTTTATTCCTTCAAACTTATACCCCGCCCTCCCGGCGAACGGGCTGTGATGGACAGGGGAAGATTTCACCCTCTTTTCTTACCCATTCATCTAGGATAAATTAGACTCAAAATGCTGAATTGGGGGGGGGGGGAACAAAACACCCAACTTCTTCTTCTTTGTGCTATCGAGCCACAGCTTACCTATGGCACCCTGTGTGGTTTTCAAGGCAGCATTCAGAGGTGGTTTGCCATTCCCTGCCTCCGCATCATGACTCTGGTATTCCTTGGAGGTCTCCTATCCAAATACTAACCAAGCCCAACCCTGCTTAGCTTCCCAGATCTGACAAGATAGGATTAGCCTGGGCTATCCAGCTCAGGGCAAACATCCAACTAACAAGTGAAAAAACAGAAGCGTGGGCTTTCTAAAAATTAAAGCAGGGGGCGTGGCTCAGGGGTAGAGCATCGGCTTGGCAAGCAGATCCCAGGTTCAGTTCTCTACATCTCCAGTTAAAAGGATCAGGCAATAGCGGATGTGAAAGATTTCTGCCTGACGCCCTGGACAGATGCTGCCAGTCTGAGTTGACAATACTGACATTGATGGACTAAGGATCCGATGCAGTATAAGGCAGTTTCATGGGTATATTCTCCATGGTTAGTATATTCTGCTGTTTTGGAAGGACTTGTGTGCAGTGTTCCCTCTAAGCTGAGTTAGTGTGAGCCAGCTCACAGATTTTTAGCCTCTGGCTCACAGATCTTTGTCTTAGGGCAGGAAGGATGGCTCCAGAGCAACCTCATTGATGCAGTAGCCAAATCACTCGCTCACAACCTTTATGCCAGTCTCTCACAAAGTAGAATTTTTGCTCACAGGACCCCACAGCTTAGAGGGAACATTGCCTGTGTGTCATTATTGCATTTTATATTCCCAGCCAATACTATGAGGCATACGAGGCAAATTTATTATCAAAGCACACACCAAGTACGAAGACTTCAATGAAGCTGTGAGAGAGCACTCAAAAAGTAGATGGCATAGTGGCTCACATGAAGACATCCCTGAATTAAACATTTAGCAAAGGGAAGGGGGGGGCACCACAGAGTTTTTCCCCCTAGCTATCATGCCCTTAACTCTTTCACTGCCACACTTGACTTTAGTCGATTTTTTTTTGGGTGGGGTAATTGTTTTTATCTGCTGTGTTTGACTTTAATCTGTCTCTTTGGCATGGTGAGTCACTAAAGTTTAAAAGTTTGGTTGACAGATATCACATTTATTTCCATTTCATGGCGTGAGAGTTTCGCTTCCATCTAGTGTAAACATAGCTGGCTGGGTCTGGCTTGCATTTAACTCATCAGCTGATTTGTGTAACTGACCTGTAAGCACTTTATTTTATTATTTAGAAAAATAATTTTTCCCCACATAAACAAGGTAAATTTCAGTGAACAAGATGTAAAACTGTGTACCTGAGGAAAGAAGTGATTGATTTGTGAAAGATCAAAGATTACTGCAAGTGTAAAGAGCAGTACAAAATGTTTATAAAGGTTCAGATAAAAGATGACCGTATGTCATGACATTTGACCTGAGATTACAAATGTCTTCCCAAGTCTATTTTCTTAGTTGATGGGCAATCTGGAGCAAAAAAAGAAGTCTTTATAGAAGGCAGCTGCCCAGTGGACTTTTTCAAGAGGTGGCTTTAAAAAATTGGAAATTTTGCATCATTTGAAAACGGGAGGATAGCATCCACCTCCGGTTTATCAGAACATTATGGTTGTTGTTGTTCAGTCGCAGAGTCGAGTCCGACTCTTCGCGACCCCATGGACCAGATCACGCCAGGCCCTCCGGTCTTCCGCCGTCCTCTGAAGTTTGCTCAACTTCATGTCCGTTGCATCGATGACACTGTCTAACCATCTCCTCCTTTGCCGTCCCCGTCTTCTTTGACCTTCAATCTTTCCCAGCATCAGGGTCTTCTCCAGTGAGTGCTCCCTTCTCATTTGGTGGCCAAAGTATTTGAACATTATGGGCAGGCCAACAAATTGTCTGCAGTGGGGTTGGTAGATTGTAGAGTTCGGAGTATTTCGGCAAGAACCTGACGACTGGGGCAGAGGTCGCGTTCCCTTGTTGGGCCTTCTGAATAAGTTATTACAGGAATCTTCTTCTTTGATCCTTGGCTGAGTGGTGTTTCAGCAACCCAGGTCCACAAACACAGACACACACACATAAGTGTATTGTACTTTTTTTTGGTAAGGGATGGAATTTTTTTAATCAGCAGAAGAGACACATGATGAGTGGTATAAAACTCCTGATTCCCCTGTTATATCTTCAGATGTTATATTTTCAGTATTATCACAGTAGGTTATCTCAAAATATAGTATTGTGTCCTCACTGCTTAGAACGGAATCCTTCTAACTTTGCGTTTCAGAGACCTTAAGCGAGTGATCCTACGTTAGTGACTTCTATTGGTGGGTTTGATACGTTTCTGGATGCTCTCCTCACATATGGAGCCAAGCTGGGCTGAGGTCCTTGGGAAAGAACGGACCTGTGCTGAACACACACATAAAGCAGGGTTCCACTACAACATGGCTAGGAGAACAGATTCAGGTGCGGAGCCATGTTGGTCTGAAGCGGCAGAACAAAGTATTGAGTCCAGTGGCCCCTTTAAGTCCAACAAAGTTTTATTCAAGGTATAAGCTCTTGTGTGTAAGCAAGCACACTTCTTCAGATACTTCTTCTGTGGTATAGAGAGGCACTTGACATATCCAAGTGCTATACCAGTTTTCCCTGCTAAAAGTAGGCTGGGTGGTTTCCCTTGCAAGAGCACAGGGAGCTCTGTGCTTATGTTGCCCAGACATACAAAACAAATACTTCCACACTACAGGTTCTAACACACTCGTACTCTTACTCTCTTCCCTTACTATAATGTGTTTGTTATTTGCCCCTCTAAAAGATGCAGGAGGAGCTAAATGTGCCCAGTAGGGCAGAAGTTTTGTTTTTATATTTCAACGAAAGATCAGTAGATAGTCTCCGTATCAGAAATTAAACTATGCAAAACTTTCCCGAAGGAAGTTAAACAGCAACTGCAAGGCTAACAAGGATCACTCTGCCTGTGCAAAAACAAGGAACGGCCAGTTTGGTGTAGTGGGTGCGCGGACTCTAATCTCGGAGAACTGGGTTTGATTCCCCACTCCTCCACTTGCACCTGCTGGATGACCTTGGGCAAGCCGTAGTTCTAATAAGAGCTGTTCTTGAAAAAGAGCCGTTTCTATCAGAGCTCTCTCAGCCCCACCTACCTCACAGGGTGTCTGTTGTGGGGAGGGGAAAGGAAAGGAGTTTGTAAGCCGCTCTGAGACTCCCTTGGGTAGTGAAGGGCGGGGTATAAATCCAATCTCTTCTTCTTCTTCTTCTAAATCTGATCTTTTTCTACTTAAGCTTAAAACCAGCAGACAAATGAGATTGGCAGTTAAAATAAATCTCACAAAATTAACTCTAGATAAAGATCTGAGCTCGTTTTAATACTCTTAATTTTTAAAAAGTTTGCTTACATGGAGACCCTGTGTTTTAAAAGGCTGAACCTTACTTAAGTACACGAAGTGAAGTTAAAATGAAGGTTGCTTACTTGCCCCCCAAGGTGGTATGTAGCCTTTTTCCCCTCAAGTGTAAATATACTATGAAAGACTATTAGTTACATTGCATTTGAAAAATCAGCAACGTGGAAGTTCTAAATTGATTAAATCCTTTAAAGATTTCCTCTGTCTCCTTTCACAAGACGGCTTCGGAAATACCAAACATCCTAAAAGCAAGAAATTGGAAAGAAATTAGATTTTGTTCTGTCCACAGGATCATCTCCACTCCATACACAAGCACTAGTCACAACAAAAGAAGGAACTCCCTGCATAATAGCTGATTAAACATTCTTCGCATACTATCTCATTATTTAAATTATAATATTGTATTATAGGCAAGGGCTGCTCGTATGCTACAGTTCCGTGGGAGTAAAGAAGCTGCTGAAGGAACAGGGCACAGTATTCTGCTTCCCAGGGCTCATTTCCTGCAGGAGCGCACGGGAGCAGAGCTCCGGCAGTAAAGAGCCCAGGGGGCGGGCACATGCAACAAGCCCCACCCCCTGCTCCCAGCAGCCCTCAGTCAGAGCAAGAAGCAGCCAGGTAAACTGCAGAGACCCTCCTGGTCCAAAACAGTCCAGTGGCACCTTTAAGACCAAGTTTTATTCAGGTGCAAGCTCTCCCTCCTCTGTGAGGACAAATCTGCACGTTCCCCCCACCCCCAATAGCTAGCAATCCAAAACAGTCCAGTGGAGCCAGAGCGGTGGGTGTTGCCTTCTGACATACTTCCGGTGATGCCGGGGGGTGTGGCATATGCAAATAAGTTATACTAATGAGTTATGCTAATGAGCTCCTGCACCTCTTTTTCTACGAAATGACCCCTGCTGCTTCCTGAGAATATCAATTCTCTCTTCTGTCTCTCTTTTCCCATCTCTTTAACAGCAACTTTCTAGCCCTTATGGCTGAAGAGAGATCCCCAAATGTGTATGGGCAATGCAGAGAGAGGTCACTGACTGAAATCTGGGTGCTCCTTGCCTTTCTTTGGAACTGGCAAGACTAGAACCAGTTGCACAGAAGTCACACAAAATGAGGGAAACTATGCAAACACTGTTTTAATTTTTGCAATTTATCTTGACCACAGTCTGACTTTTCATGGTACAGAATTCAGCTTGCTTGCTTGCAAACTGTTAAGGATTTTTTAACTAGAGATCCAATGGAAGACCTCTAGCAATTTCAAGAGAAAGAATACTGTGAAGAAATGAAATTTTTCTTTGGAGGTTTGAAATGAGCAAAACCTTCACTCTGAGTTTTAAAAGTCCCCCCCCCCCCTGGGCAGAGAACAGGCAGGATGGGGAAAAATCAGTTCATTTGCTTTCCAGACTTACCTCACCCCACCTTCATACAAATGCTAATAGGTCTAGACAATGGAACAGTCTAGCCCTCCCACCTCCTTCAAGCAGGGAACAGAGATTTGGAGGTGTTAAATACTAGAAAGACTTCAGGGAGAAAAATCCTGGAACCTTCCGGAAAAGCTTCTCTGGCCTGGCCTGGTCAGTGGGTGGGGAAAAGAGAGTTGATAAAACTCAGGGGAGCAAAGAGGAAGCACTCTTTTGTTCTGAGTCCATCAGAGCAGACAGAACTCTTAACTGAGGTCTGGGAAAGGTGGCCATTAGCCATGTGTTGGCCTGAAGAGCTGAAGGTAACTTCAAGGTAATAGTGACTCTGTAGAGATCTGTAACTTTTGCCTGTCCTGTATTTTAACATCTGTTAGGGCATGTATAGAGAGAGGGACAGAAGAATTGCATTTTACCCATTTCTTTTGACTCCCTTGCTCAATTTGGGGCTGTGTTAAAAGTATGCTTGTGAACATTTTCTTTTTAATAAATACTTTATAACTTTTGATGCTGGTAGTGGATCTCTGTACTGCAAAGACCTCCACCGTCTTGGACATGCTGTTTTAAAAGGAGCGCCAAGGGGAAGGCAGTCAGTTGGCAAGCAGCTATTCCTCCGGGGGTGCACAAGGCAGTAAACAGTCCCTGTGGTGAGCAGGCGTGGACAGCGGGAGACACAGGGGCGAAGCCTCAGAACTTGGAAGAGAAGCTGGGAGTCCTGACCCTCCCAGTGGGCAATTCAGGTGGTGGTGGTGGTAGGCTACTGGAGAGAGAGAAAAGCCTCTCCAGGTGTTTGGAAAGCCTTGGAGGGCAAGGTGCAACAGGGCCTGCAGGCCAGAGCAGGACTGTTCTGCCACAAACACTAGTAATGTTTCAATTAATTTTGGATTACATGAAAAATCATCAACTTCAATTCCTAGCATCCGGTAGGCATGAACTTAATGGCAGGAACCACACCTAACTTCTCCCAAGGCAGGCTCTGGTACTAATCCACTAACTGTTCTGAACATTACTTTGCTGCCAACAAATGGAAGAACAATGCATGCCCAGTGCTGGCTCTGAAATGATGAGAGGAATAATTCTGCACAAATACACAGTAGCAGTTTTCCATATAAGCAAAACTTCATCATCATCAGTAACTTCAGCAGCATCAAGGGACATGATTGGAGAGGTCATTTCTACTGAACTAATTGCGTGGAAAGTTCCAGTTACAGGTGCTTAAAACAGAGTTATGAGTGAAACAATACTGGTGGGAGACATTTTTTTTAAAATTAAAAAGGCGCTTTACCTTCATGGAGATTGATGAATTCAATCCATACTTTGTTCTTGCAATTTCTATCATTTCTTCTTCAAGTTTCTCTTGCGTAGTACCTTTCACATCAATATAGTTGCAATCACCACTGGCGTAATGACAAGAGATTGCCTGCATAAATTTTTTAAAAGGCGATGCAATAAAGTTAAAATGACTATGAAGGAACACTTCTGGCACTAAATAATTGGATGTTAAGAGGATGTGAAAGACCTCTGCCTGAGACCACGGAGAGCTGCTGCCAGTCTGAGTGGACAACACTGACCCTGATGGGCCAAAGGACACAGAAAAAGGCAGCTTCATGTGCTCACGACTGTGCTATGCCAAAACCGGGCTTGTCCGAAGAGGGAAAGCTGCACATCTTCAAATGCATGTGCAGCACACAATGCAACTTGGGGGGGGGGGTGCATTGAGCCTCAGAAGTGCAGGCTGAGTGCACAAAAATATGATCATCAGTCAGGGCTCTTTTTGTAGAAAAAGCCCAGCAGGAACTCATTAGCATAATAGGCCACACCCAACAGCAGAAATTTATTAGCATATTAGGCCACAGCCCTGACAGCACAGCTCATTAGCATGCTAGGCCACACCCCCATGTTACCAGAAGTGTGGTTATCCAGCCACACCCACCTTTTGCTTCTTATTCTGTTTACCTTGTTTGTTGTCAAAACCCAGGGCCTTTTTTTGTAGCAGGAACTCCTTTGCATGTTAGGCCACACACCCCTAATGTAGCCAATCCTAATGAGTTCCTGCTGTTGGGTGTGGCCTGTTATGCTAAGGAGTTCCTGCTGGGCGTGGCCAACTTGGGAGCCAGCCAGAACTCCGTTCCTGCATGTTCCTGCCCCAAAATAGCCCTGCCATGCTTCAGTCTAAGTACAGAGTCACTCACAAACTCTAGACCAGGGGTGTCGAACTCATTTGTTATGAGGGCCGGATCTGACATAAATGAGACCTTGTTGGGGTGGGCCATGTGTATCATAAAATGTAATGCCAGGTAGCGGCAATATAAACTTTATAAAGGACACAAACACAAAGATTTTTTTTAAAAAAACCCTTAAAATTCTTTTGTATGTGTTGAAATTCTTATCTGTGGTGCTATCAATTACCATGTCAGATTACACAGGGAAGCCACTGAAATTCACAAACATAAACACAATTTCAACAGGATTTATTTATTTCAAAAATATTTATTTCAAAAATAAATAGGACATGGTTTCCTGTCCTGAAAAACACAAAAGGCTCTACCATCTGACAATAGCACTACAGATAAGATTAGAATTTCAACAGCCAATCCACATACAAAAGAACCTCCTCAGGAAGCAGGAAACCTCCTCAGGAAAGCTCCTCCATTAGCATGTCCACAGCCTGGGGAACTCCCACAAGACAATGACTCTGGAGTAGATATAAATTAACTGCCTACCATTTTCTTCTCACCTTGACACAGAGAGTACTCCGTCTTTCTGTGTTATACCTCTGAGGATGCCAGTCACAGCTACTGGCGAAACGTCAGGTTCTACAATGCCAAGACCAAGGACACATAACCCGGAAAATCTACAGCAACTAATGATCTCTGAACATGCTTAATGCAAAAAGCAGGCCTGACTGCCGTGCATCTGCCGCTCTAGCTTCCACAGCAGAGGAAAACAGGCTGCACGCCCAGCCAGAAGTGGCAGACTTTGCATTTTATTATTTCACTCGTTCTCATATACTACTGTTGATCGACAGGTTATTGGCCTACAAAAGTACAAAACAGTTGAATAACCCCTCTTAGCTCTTACGTTGACACATTTAAAAGGGGGAAAAAACCCTACTGAGAATTAAGTCACTTTCAAAAACTTACTAAACAAGATAATTAGTTCGCAACATCAAGTGTCAATTAAAACATGGGAGGGACTTGCGTTACGAAACTGGCTTTTCAAAGCATGAACCCTGACCAGGCCTCTTACCTTTCGAAACCCTTCTGTCCTGTTCATTCCAGAGCCATGGATCAGTAAGGGATGGAAGAACACCGTGTCTCCTTTTTCCATAACAAGGTGGACCCGAGGGGCATTTTTATCATAATCACGCACGCCGTGGTACATTTTGTTCACTCCACCCTGGAAATCAGTTCATAAATCACTTTCTTGTTCTGACAGGTCAGCCTTCAAGCACACAAAACTCTTTATCACTAAACAACCTGGTGAGTATATGGTGACCCCCCCCCCCCATAGGGTTTTAAAGGCAAGAGAGGAAGAGAGGCACTTGCCGTTGCCTGCCTCTGCGTAGCAACCCTGGACTTCCTTGGTGATCTCCCGTCAAGTACTAGCCAGGGCCAGCCCTAACCCGGCTTCGCTTTTGGGAGCTGATAAGATCGGGTTAGCCTGGGGCACCTTAAAGGTCAAGGTAAAGGTTCCCTTGCTCGAAAGCCAGTCGAGTCCGACTCTAGGGTTGAGGTGCTCATCTCCGTTTCCAAGCCGAAGAGCCAGCGCTGTCCGAAGACGTTTCCGTGGTCATGTGGCCGGCATGACTAAACACCAAGGCGCACAGAACGCTGTTACCTTCCTACCGAAGTGGTACCTATTTATCTACTTGCAGTTTCTTGCTTTCGAACTGCTCGGTTGGCAGGAGCTGGAACTTGAGACGGGAGCTCACTCCGTCATGCGGCAACCCGGGTCTCGAACTGCTGAACTACCGACCTTCCACAGCCTGCAGTTCAGCATCTTAACCACTTGAGCCACCGCAGCTCCTTGGGGCAGCTTAGATCAGACTTAAAGAACGTAAGAACGGCTGAGCTCCGTCAAACCTAAGTCCCACCCAGCTCAGCGTCAAGTTTTCAAGCAGCCAGCCAAACATTGCTCCAGACATTCACAGAAGCAGCATGGTGGCCATCCCACATTAACCCCTGGTAATCTGCACTGAGACACGCACTGCTACTGAACAGGGAGGTTCCATTTCGCTAGCATACCCTTGGAGAGGTCCACCCAACTCAGCCTTGTCCGATCATCTTCCAAAGTCTTATGAGCCAACAGCCATCACCCCATCTCGGGGGACTGGATTCCTGAAGTTATCACAGCCACCGCCCCACCCCACCCCAAGCAGTCCAATTCATTTTTCCCCCTACCTCTGCCTCTATTATAATGTCTGGGATGGAACTCACAAGTGTCGTTATAGCCATAAGTCCCAAACTATTTATTTAATACGTTTTGTACTATCTCAACCTTTCTTCCCGATAGGGCCCCAAACTGGTTTATATTGTTCTCCCCTCCTCCATTTTACCCTCACAACAGCTCTGCAAGTGAGATTGGGCAGAGAGAGGGTGACTGGCCCAAGGTCACCCAGCGAGCTTCCAGGGCGCAAATGGAGATTGAGACCCCGGTCTCCCAGATATTAGTCCGACACTCAACCATTTTTTAAAAAAGCAAACCAACAAACACTGCAGCTGAAGACTCCGAAGAAGGTGGAGGAGGAGGAGATTGGATTTATACCCCGCCCTTCACTCGGAGTCTCAAAGCGGCTTACAAACTCCTTTCCCTTCCCCTCCCCCCACAACAGACACCCTGTGAGGTAGGTGGGGCTGAGAGAGCTCTTTCGAGAACTGCCCTTTCAAGGACAGCTCTTGTCAGAACTATGGCTTGCCCAAGGTCATCCAGCAGCTGCAAGTGGAGGGGGGGGTGGGGGATCAAACGCGGTTCTCCCAGATTAGAGTCCGTGCACTTAACCACTACACCAAACTGGAACAAGCCATTGGAGTAAAGGCAGGATCATTAAGATTGGTTTATGCTTATAATATAGCCTGGCTTGCTGAGTTTAGCAAGGTCAGCTATGGTTAGTATTCGGACAGAAGACCACCAAGAAAGACTGGGGTCACTATGTGGAGGAAGGCCATGGCAAACCACCTCTCCTCCTGTCTTGCCTGTAACATCCCAGGATCGGGGTCTCCATAAGTGAACTGCACATTCTTCTTCTTCATATTTTCACACTATCTAGGTTTGTTGCATGAACGCTGCTTCAAATTATACAGGATACAAAGGGGAATTTTTCTTTAAGAAGAGAGAGGAGAGAGGAGATTGGATTCAGTATCCCCTCTAAGCTGAGTTAGTGTGAGCTTGTTTTTTAGCCTCCGGTTCACACATTTTTGTCTTGGCTCAGGAAGGATGGGGCTCCAGTGCAAACTACTTTATGCAGCAGTCAAATAGCTCGTTCACAACTTTAATGCCAGCAGCTCACAAAGTAGAATTTTTGCTCACAGGACTCAACAGCTTAGAGGGAGCATTGATTGGCTTCACTCCCCACCCTTCACTCGGAATCTCAGAGCGGCTTACAATCTCCTTTCCCTTCCCCTCCCCACAACAGACACCCTCAGGCAAGTGGGACTGAGAGAGCTCTGAGAGAACTGCTCTTGAGAGAACAGCCGAGAGAACTTGTAGCTGACCCAAGGTCACACCAGCAGCTGCATGTGGAGGCGTGGGGAATCAAACCCGGTTCTCCCAGATTAGAGTCTGTGCTCCTACCCACTACAACTATCCACAGAAAACAATGAGGGAACACCAAGAGATTCTTGTGTCTCACCAGCAAAAAACAAACACCTGCCTCCCAGTCAGTTGATAACGCCTTCCTGTTTCTTTCACTTTCCCTCTCTCCCTCACATATAAATTACCTCCCAGTCCGGGTAATCATGCTGTTTCAGAGACCCTTTATGAGTTCCCGGCATCACCACTAGGCATCCATTGCTGCGGTCAACTCTTTCCATGGCAGTCCAGGCACAGACAATGCGCTCTGCAGGCCGGAAGGGGAAGTAATGCAAATCCTGATGCATTGGGTGGCGAGAGGTCTTCTTCCCTACAAAACCAACTCATGTTAGCTTGCGGGCAGAATGATACATAACAATAAATAAAGACATTAAGCTATCACACACTCATCTGCTGTACTAATCGGTAGCTGGGAATTTTCTGTCTGCTTTGGAATACATGCTGACTTCTTACTATTCGTCTTATTTAGTCATTTATTTATTTATATTTACATATTCGGCAGGCTCAGGGCAGCTAACTATATAAACATACATTAAAATTCCATTAAAACTGTCAATCAATATAAAATCATACAACTTATATTAAAAGATGGCGAACCTTCCAATCTCAACTGTCAACTGAACACTGTCTTAGTGTAAAAACTCCACCCCCTACAGATGGATAACTCCAGAAGGACTTATCTTCAACTACAAAGAAAAGAAGCAAAAGATTGACTCTGTTACAAAAGCAAAGGCATTTTTGGAACAGCACCAAACAGCAGCGAAGGATGGAAGGGCTGAGGACAACAGCGTAACAGAAGAAAACACTGAACACAGATCGGGAAACAGTGAAAGTTCTTCAGGCAGTTCTCTAGAAGATTCAGACTCCAATAAGGGAACAGCAGCTCCCATATTATTGAAAGTCAGATTAACCTGTTTTTATTACTGGAGCACAGGCACCATCCTCGTCTTCAAAGCCCTCTGTGCAGACACACAAAAAGGGAGGATCGTGGGTACTAGAAGCACTTGGGAAATTAGGCTGGTGAAATTATGTTCCAAGGGACAGAATCAGGGCTCTTTTTGTAGAAAAAGCCCAGCAGGAACTCATTAGCATAATAGGCCACACACAACAGCAAAACTCATTAGCATATTAGGCCACACCCTGACAGCACCGCTCATTAGCACATTAGGCCACACCCCTATGTTACCAGAAGTGTGGTCATCCAGCCACACCCACCTTTCCCTTCTTATTCTGTTTACCTTGTTTGTTGTCAAAACCCAGGGCTTTTTTTGTAGCAGGAACTCCTTTGCATGTTAGGCCACACACCCCTAATGTAGCCAATCCTAATGCGTTTCTGCTGTTGGGTATGGCCTATTATGCTAATGAGCTCCTGGTGGGCGTGGCCAACTCAGGAGCCAGCCGGAACTCCGTTCCTGTGTGTTCCTGCCCCAAAATAGCCCTGGGCAGAATTATATTTTGCCAGCAGTATAGCTCCAGATCGCAATGAGTGCATGGGTGAGCCTAATGCCAGGGACTGCAGCCTCCCCCCACACACACCCCTCCCTCCAGCTCTGCGATGGCTGCCCTCAGTGGGGCTAGAGTGGCAGCAGTCTGGAGGACTAGGAAGGAGCTGCTGCCCATTCCCTGGGAGCCATCTGGACAACCACTCCGTCCTCTTCCAGCCTGGGCAGTCAGCTTCTAAGGGGACCCGGCAGAGGTGACAAGAGATCCCCCCTTCTGGGGAGCAGAGAGGGCAGGCTGTCACACTGGGTTATTTGTAGGGTCCACAGATTGTAGGTTAATTTGAACGAGAGAACGGTGGAGTCTGTTTTTTAGGCTGGCGGTCAGATGAAAGCTGGTAAACTGAGAATGGACTGGTGGATGGGGAAAAGCAGGGACCGGACAATGGAGGTTTTAGCTGTGCAGATTCACTGTTTTATTATATCAAAGTTGTGGAGAGGAGAATGATGGGCTATATCCTCGATTTTGGTCTTCTGTTCGGAGACAGCGTTAAATGGTGCAGAGGACAGAATGATCTCTACAGCTCCCATATCGTCCACCAATAATCCTGGCAAGGGGCCCTCTGGTGTCATTACCCGTAATTTCCCCCTTCTGGGACTGGTTCCTCCTCCCAGGTCTCCTTCTGTCCTGCAAATGACCCCGTTCACCTCGGCTCCCCACCCCTTCAAGAAATCTCCATTCTCACCCCCAAGTTTGAAAGGGGATACATCTCCCTTGCCCCTCCGTATTGCCATTTGGGCACTGTCGCGCGTACATGAAACATGCTGCACGTGTACCACTGACTGCCTCCAAGTGATGATGGAACTAACACTCCTGGTGCCACCACTACATGGCTGAGAGAAATAAGAACCGCAAAGCAAGACAGAGAGTGCAAACATGGATCATGGCTGCATTTAACCAAGCTCAGAGTAAGCTTGGCCGGCGCTAGACCCCTTCATTCAGACTTGCATCACAGTGACTCAGCAAGTACGCTTTTCAAGAAGGTAAAAATCGAACAGTATTTTAGCATTACAGTGTCTTCCTGTTCGAACAGACTATTTCATTTCTTATCTGGTTAAACATTCCTTACCAGAATCTGGAGGTTTATTTATCAACATGGTGTGCATAGCCAAGATGTTTGGTCCAGTAAAGCATTCAACGTATTTTAATACCTACGGTAAACAAAATGTGTTTTCTTATTTCAAAAACTTCTAGATAATGAACGTTCTCGAGGCGCTTGGCTCTGCCTTCTGCCGAAGACATTTCAACCGATTTCCCGCAGCCGCTGCTCTGCGCTCGCTCCTCTCTTTGCCCCGATGCTACGTGTCAATTTCCCACAATGTGCTGCGTGGCGGCATTTTGCCCCGCAGCTTCGCCCAATTTTCCCTGCGTCTACTAAATCTTCAAAAAACAGGATTGAGTATACGTGGGGAAAATTGGGCGACGCTGCAGGGCAAAATGCCGCCACGCAGCACATTGTGGGAAATTGACACGTAGCATCGAGGCAAAGAGAGGAGCGAGCGCAGAGCAGCGGCTGTGGGAAATTGGTCTTTGTGATTGAACCCTCCACCCTGTGTTGGAATTTCAAATTTGCCCACAGACTCAAAAATGTTGGGGAACCTTGCTGTAGAGAATCAGATACATATTTTAACCTCCTAAAGGAACTAAAACAATCACATGATGTGGACAAAGTTTGAGTCTATCGGCACCTTTAGGATCAACAAAGTTTAATTCTGGGTATAAAGCTTTCATGTGTATGCACACTTCTTCAGACGAAAGCTTAAATTAAAATTAAACTTTGTTGATCTTAAAGGTGCCAATAGACTCAAACTTTGTTCTATTGCTTAAGATCGATATGGCTAGGCACCTGAATGTATGATGTGGACAGTAAGTGATTTTTTTTAAAAAAACAAGAACAGCAAGGCCCAACAAGATGTTATATGATCAGTTAGGTTAGGAATATTCCTAATTAGTAGCCATTATCGCAGCTTAAATAGTAAGGGTCTTTAAAATGAGATTTGTCACAGCAATCACTAGTTTGAAGTAGTCAGTTGGGAAGTATGTCCTCTTTTTCGCTTTGCAAAATACGGTAACCCTAGTTTATAGCATTCTCCTTTCCTCCATTTTGTCCTCACAACAACCCTGTGAGGTAGCTAGTCCAAGAGAGTGTGACTGGCGCAAGTCCAGCCACCAAGTTTCCATGGCAGAGTGGGGCTCGAACCTGGGTTTCCCAGAGCCTTGATGGACACTAACCACTACATTACACTGGCTCTGAAAAGACAGCTACACAATGGGCGCCCCCAACCTTTTTCAGCACATGGGCACCTTTGGAACTCTGGCCCTGGAGGGTGGGCGCAACTCCGAAAAGCATAAGAGGCAGAGTCAACCATAAAATCTCACTGAGTGAGGTCAGGCATAACTCTAATAGTAACTTTTCAACATTTCAGGCAGAAGCTCTGTTTAACAGGATGCCTTTTGAAATGAACCTCTCTTTCTTGCATACACACAGTTAAGTTTCAGTAATATGGTGAAAATCCTTTGTGTTGTGGAGAAGAAGAAGAAGAAGAAGAAGAAGAAGAAGAAGAAGAAGAAGAAGAAGAAGAAGAAGAAGAAGAAGAAGAAGAAGAAGAAGAAGAAGAAGA